ATTTTTTCTCTTTATGTAAATACCTGGGCAAGTATCACCAGTAACTTCAGAGAGTTCGTTTTCTTTTTTTATATAAATTCAGCCTTCTTGATTTTGGATTCTCTCTAATTGCTTAACAAAGCAAAATTTGTAGTTAAATATGTTGATAGAAAAATAATTATAATCAAACCCCCTTTAACGAGTGACAACTTTATGCGATAATTCATGACTATTATTGACGCTAGCTTCTTAAAAAGGAGATGGCTAAATAGAGGTTCGACGGTACTTACCAACACCTTGAACAGATCATGGTGCAATGTTCGGGTGCGAAATCCTCCCTCAAAGAGTGAAAATCAGGATTGAGAAATTGGCGCACACGACGAAAAAAAGAATCCCCGAGACTTCAAACAAGTTGCGAAGCCTAAAAGTCAGCTAAACGTCAGTGAAAGACAAACGATTATACACGCTGTGTCGGTGAAAAAATCAAAAGGGGTGGGCACTGGAATGGAACAAGTTTCTGATTCGCGTTATAAACCAGCTACGCTTTTTACCTGCTACCCTGAGCATATGCTAAAAATAATGCCTTGTCATAAAATCCCATAATGATGTCTACTTAATACTGTTTTTTTTCCTATTTCGGTTTAAATAAATTAAAAATGAAAGAAAGGAAGATGATTATGATGACGTTAATGATGATGATCGACGGTAAGGACGACGAAAGTGATGATGTTGTTGGTGATGATGATAATGATTTTGATGAATGGAGGGTATCAACTACCATTATGACAAAAAGTCCAATTCAAACTGTAATCAAGCGGATAAGCCATTTTAAAAGACAGTTCTCTTACGCGAACATCTCGGCTTACAGTTATTACCCATTTCACGAGCTCTGGTACACGTAAGTTTTAGTGCATACGGTTAAAGATCTTTTAAAGGTGGAAGCAAGCGTGCGATTCTTTTAACCATCTCCGGTCTGGACTCAGTACTGAGAAAATGATATAGTAAAGTCTCGATTCATAACGGTAACTTCTTTAGGTGGCAACTTTAAGACGATTTCCATTAGTTTTCTTTATCTTGTGCTCAGACAGTCCCATGATCTGAAAGTCGTCACTCTTCTATTCCAAAAAATCGTCGATAGAGCCGTTGTCTTTGGTATTGTATTCTTCCATGTTAGCGTAAGTATGGTGTCAAGAAAAAGTGATAGTTCCAGGTCTAATAACACCACTTGTACCTAGCTTTTTCTTTCGACTATCGCAAAGTTTTAAATGAAGTCTCAAAGTGCGAGATGTTTATTTTTTACCTTTTTTGATTCTTAATTAGCGCCGAATAAAAAAAAAAACCTTAGAACTCAGAAGACTTGGCACTGCGGAGCCGAATGTTCACATTTCATTGTAGCTTAAAAGCGTCAACATCCATTTTCAGTACCTTCAGCTGTTTTATTTGAACAGTCTTTCTTAAACGAATATTCGCAATGGGGTATACGGATCTGCTTCACTTATACTAGAAGGGCAAAATATATTCACCTGCAAAGCGATCATCAGACAATGTGTTCTGCACGAGGCAATTTTAATTGAAAAATCAGATTAAAATATCGAGGATAGTAAAAGTGGTGCTTCTTATGATTTACTACGTAGAATTTAATTTAAATGAGGAAAACTTTGACAAAAAACTAAACATGCTATGGAGTTTGAGTTTCTTATTATTGAAGGAAACTATGGGGGCAGTTAATTAAGAAGCAGATTTTTCAGGTAAGGAAATATCGCAGCCGGAAGGGTTTTCTTCAGTATGCGCTTGCTGGCATGAGCCAAGCCAGTTTGTGACGCAGTTGATGTTGTCTTTTGAGAGTTTCTGTATGTTCATTAAACCAATTTTTAAAATCATATTCCGTCATTGCAATGTTTGTTTTTGCCGGAAAAAACACTTAATTATAACACATACGTTATTGTTCTGCAACATGGCTGCCAGCGAACACTTTAGTTCAGAAAATATTGGTCGCACATTGGGCTTTTCTTGCAAGCATTGAAGCATAAGTTCATAACTACCAAGCAAAAGATGAAATAGTTAACAATAAAAAGTGATTAAACACACCATACTACTATTTATAAAAACAAAGTCCCATCCGATTAAGCAAAAAAAAAAAACTTTTTTACAAAATATTCGCAAATTCAAGAACCTTTCAAAAGGAGTTTACAAATACTTTTTACTTTTCGTAGAAAATAATAACAATAAAGAAAGATATATTCTCGCAATTAATCTGATAAAACAAGGCTAAATGCTTATAGATGGCGTATGGTTAAGGGTATGGGCGAAGTCCCTAACGCACTGATTTTGACAAAGTTCCTTCAAATCTAAGGGTTGATATTATGAAGAAAAGATCATGGCCTAGCCTCCTCCGCAGGCTTCACTGTCCTGTATTAGAGAACGTACGAGTGGGAGAATGCGGTAGAGAACGGAGAGTTACAGTGATTACCTTCTACGCATATTGACTCGCGCATACGGGTCCAATTTTTGTATGGGATAGTGGGAGGAATTTTGAGAGGCAAAAGCCGTTCACCGGGACCTACAATAGTTTGTTAGTTTGTCGAAAGGAAAATGGCGTTAGAAGGATATTCTCTTAGCTGAATCCTACTGGACCAGCAAACTGGCGTATTTGTATTTTTCCTATGTATGTGGGCTGATGTAGCAGGGGATCATTGCAAAAACAATCGTATCTTATTTTTTAAGACTTTGCAAGGAATAAACCATACAAGAGGAAATGATACTAGTGTGATATTTTAGCGCATCACATTGTTTTGGGTAAGTCAAGCGACATCGAAAGTAATAACAAGAAAATGTTTACTTAACCTGTGAAGTACATGGCACAAATACATAAGCTTAACCGAAACGAATTCCTTTCATTGTTTTCTAATATATTTGATTCAGTTGCATTTAATAAATGTCGCCTCATAATTAGAGAGACCTCTTTAGTTATGTAATTTCAAGGGGCCACTTGGAATCCAGTTTGAATATTTGCCATATTCTGGATATCGCCAACTCTTTGGCGATTTTTCGCTGTTTGGGCCAGATTCACCATTTTTGTCAAATTTTGCCATTTTTTCCAAAATCACCAGTCGCCGTGCGGCCACTTTTGCCATCCAAGTTGAATCGCCAGCCCTCTGGAAAAATGTTTCCATTTTTGCCAAAATCGCCACTCTCCAAGAGGCCTGGTGATTTTTAGCCATTTGTTCCAAATTCGCCATTTTTGCCAAATTAACCATTTTCTCCAATTTCCCCAAAATCATTATTTTCGCCATTACCGCCAAAATAACTGCAGGCAAATATACAGCTAACCCATGCCATCTTTAATAATAAGTGTAGTAATAGTCAATTGTGAAGCGCGTCATTAGCAGTGGGTGGATGAAATGGTAGGAGATATTACTGCAGTGAAATTAACAAGTAAATTCTGGTAATTGGAGAAAAAAATGTGTATTTTTAAGTGAACTAGTGTTTGCACTTGTTATAGTACATAACAAAACCAGTGGGAAGGCTGAGAACAGAGGAAATGAAAATCATTTTTGAAAGAGCTAAACTTCTTTTGATTATGGTTATTTTTCCAAAGAGTGTTAAATCCCTGGAGGACCAGACGTTAAGACACTTTTCCAGGGCGACAAACTTTTTTCAAAGTTATCCTTTGTTGAAGCTTCCGAATCACATGAGATTCGTTTTGCATGAACTCAGTTGAAAACGCGTTGTTGTTTTCTTCTCTGAACTGTTTTCACTCGATTGTTGATATCGAATCACCTTAGCGTTGGGTCCCGATGTCCCATTGCGCACCATCTATTTTTAACCGACTCTCTAACGCTATTGTTCGCATGATGGCTCGCCGCGGTTTTCATGCCGTGATCAACTACCGTGATGATTTTCTCTTGCCTAGTCCCTAGGACTCATTATTATGCGCGGCCGATGCGTTTCGGGTCACAAGAAAGTTTTTGAAGCCTAGACAAACTAGACATTTTGTCTCACTTGGGGCGGAACTTTTGGAAGCGGAAGAGCTGTCAATAACTTTTCCGCGCTGACAAAAGATGTCCAGCAGCCATGGAGAGTATAGTACAGAGGATAAAGAGGTAAACCAAGCATTTTCATTCTATGCACGTTTTCATTGTTGAAAGTCCTTTGGCCTTTCTTTTTCATTTATCTCATTAAACTAATTTGAACTTTATTTCATCTCAAAAACTATTTGTAGGCTAAGCAAAACAGCGTCGCAAAAAATTATTTGATCAAGAATCGGAAGGTAAGCTAAAGAAATAAGTTTCTATTTATTCTTGGATATGAAAAGCTATCTTTCGCTTCTCTATTTTCGCTTGCTCCTGTAAATTTCTCGTTATCATTTCACTTCAAAATATTTTATGTAATTTAATTTTTGGATTTGGAAGCTTATCAAACTAATCGGACAGGCTGTTGAATTTGGTCTCTAAATTTGGTAGAATGTCAACAAACTACTGTTTCAAATCTTTTTATCAATAAAGAAATATCATTTTAATGGAATGGGACATTTGAAAATAAACTTAAAGAGAAATTACTTGCACGTTATACAGTAGTATTCTTTCCGATTCAAAGTAATATTTTTGTTCTTTAATACAGAAACCAGGTTAGTTATTTTTGTAATAGTGTCAATAGTGCCGATCTTTAAGCGGAGGATATTCACGCGCAAAGTTATTTATAGATTATTTCAGTTGAACGTGTGAACTTTTCAAAAATGCAAAAATGCTCACGCGTGCGCACTCCGAGATTGTTAGGCGTCTTCCGGCCGTTCGTCTCGGATACGTCACCGAAATGCATTGACCGAGAGGGCCTGGAAGGACACCGTATAGGGACTAGGCAAGATTTTCTCATCATCGGAAGTACTCGAGCCGAGTGTCAAATGGGACTTGTCACTCTTATCCGCTTGCTTCATTCTCTCGGATTTAATGTGTGAGCTGGCGTAAAGTCGTTTCTCCTATTCAGCGCGCTACGTTTTTGGAATTGAATCTGATTCCACATCTATGACTGTTCGTTTACCCGTGGATAAATTATCACGATTGAATAATCTGGTCTATGCCCTCTCAGGAAAAGTATCTGGCTCTAAACGTCAACTGCAATCTTTAGCGAGATCTTTCAACTTTGCGTGTCAGGTTGTCCATGGGGGTTGTACTTTCCTCCGTCGCGAGACTGATTGTTTCAATAAGTTAAAACGCCTCTCTCATCGGTGTCGTTTGACATCTGACACCCGTTCTGAAATCTCGTGGTGGAAAGATTTTCTTGTCACGTTCAACGGCCGTCGAGTGATGCTCCATTTTCGCCAGTCCTATTGCATTCGAACGGATGCATCCTTCTATGGTTTTGTAGCTGTCTCTCCTGACGACTGTTTTGTCGGCTCTTGGGCGGCTTTCCCCACAGACGCCGCCAACTCACGCTTATTTCCATCTCACTGGTGTTTTGCTGGTCACGTTATCGACCCGTCACATCTTTCAAATATCAGTTTCTTGGAGCTTTTCCCGATTTTTACCTCTGACCGCCGTTTAGGTGCCGTTTGGACCAAAGAAACGTGTTTTCGTAGAAACTGAAAACACTCAAGCACTGTCGTTCATTAACAAAGGCACTTGTAAAAATCCCATAGCCATGTCGTGGCTTCGGGAGATATTTTGGCTTAGGGTCCGTCACAACTTCCACCTCCGCGAGCGCCCTCTTGCCCGGCAGATATAACCGTCAAGCAGACAGATTGAGCAGGCCTATTCAATCAGCGTCATTTTCTAATCACGGGTCTTTTCCCATTCTAAGGATATCTCATGCAGCTGGACCTTCAAACTAAGTTTGTGTCAGCCGCGGCGTATGCAAATTCTACTCTAAAAACGCGTCGCACAATGGCGTACTTACGTACGGTTATTCTCTACTTACAAATTGATCCCCATTTCATCCGAACCTACCACAGTAATAAGGTTTCGAGAACATTTGTCTTCTTACTGCAAATACAGTACGATTATTTACTATCTGTCTGCCATAAATGTTCTACACAGGCATTTTGGTCATCATGTCACGTTTCAAGATCTATTTTCCATTAGACAGAAATTGCCTATCACCCCGGAGATCCTTGTGCGGATTCATCCCCAGCTTACAGCAACTTCTGACTCAGGATTATGGGCTGCGATTTTAATTGGGTCCTACACCTTTCGCTAATCTAAGCTTTTTCCTAATTCAGGGAAGGACTTTAGTCCTGTGAAGACCTTATCCCGCGGTGACATTCTCATCCGTCCTTCGGGTCTGGTTATCTTTATGCGGTTGTAAAAAACAATTCATTTTCGGGATTTTTGATGTCGTCGTCTTCTCCGCTCGCGATGAATTTTAGTCGGCGTTCACCAGAAGAGTTTCAGTACGTGGAAAATCTTTGCCGGTGAGGATTTCCAGGCAATTGGTTAAGACCACCCGCGGTTCACGTGCTGCGCACGACATTAGAAACTATGTATATATGAATACATGAATTGTAGATTAAACCCTCAGTCGTAAAAATTCAACTGAAAATAATTGACATGCGCTAGAACCACCTTTGTTTGTAAAAAAAAAAAAATTCTTCCTGCCGGAAAAAAATTTTCAGGGAAAAAATAAAGACACACTTGGAAAATCTAAAGCAGTAGAGTACCTTTAAGCACAGGTACGGTCCCCCAAATTTGTTAGTAGAATCCTTGCTGTGTAGCCTTAGTTTACGATTCATATTTTTTTCAGAACAGCCTTTGTACGAAAATTATTCGACATACGATTCTCATGAAACACTGCTATTTCTCACACGATTGCCTACCCGACAAAACGGCTTCCAAAACCGTGACAAGTTCTATAAGCACTATGACCTAAAAACTCATGAAAATCCTGTGAATTGATTCGTGGTAAATTCACGGGATTTTCAAAGGATTTTAATGGTATTTTCATGGGAAATCTTCTAAGATTTTTCATGGCATGTCACCCTGAAAAAAGCATGAAAAAAAAAAAAAACATTAAAAAAGCCATTAAAAACCCCTTAATCTTTTCAGTTTTGATGGGCCGTGAAAACCCTTAAGTTTTGGGCAAATCCATGAAATACTCATGAAAACACCATGACAATTTTGGGTTGCTTTTCATGGCCTTTTATTTCTACTCTAAAAACGCGTCGCACAATGGCGTACTTACGTACGGTTATTCTCTACTTACAAATTGATCCCCATTTCATCCGAACCTACCACAGTAATAAGGTTTCGAGAACATTTGTCTTCTTACTGCAAAAACAGTACGATTATTTACTATCTGTCTGCCATAAATGTTCTACACAGGCATTTTGGCCATCATGTCACGTTTCAAGATCTATTTTCCATTAGACAGAAATTGCCTATCACCCCGGAGATCCTTGTGCGGATTCATCCCCAGCTTACAGCAACTTCTGACTCAGGATTATGAACTGCGATTTTAATTGGGTCTTACACCTTTCGTTAATCTAAGCTTTTTCCTAATTCAGGGAAGGACTTTAGTCCTGTGAAGACCTTATCCCGCGGTGACATTCTCATCCGTCCTTCGGGTCTGGTTATCTTTATGCGGTTGTAAAAAACAATTCAGTTTCGGGATTTTTGATGTCGTCGTCTTCTCCGCTCGCGATGAATTTTAGTCGGTGTTCACCAGAAGAGTTTCAGTACGTGGAAAATCTTTGCCGGTGAGGATTTCCAGGCAATTGTTTAAGACCACCCGCGGTTCACGTGCTGCGCACGACATTATAAACTATGTATATATGAATACATGAATTGTAGATTAAACCCTCAGTCGTAAAAATTCAACTGAAAATAATTGACATGCGCTAGTAGAATCCTTGCTGTGTAGCCTTAGTTTACGATTCATATTTTTTTCAGGACAGCCTTTGTACGAAAATTATTCGACATACGATTCTCATGAAACACTGCTATTTCTCACACGGTTGCCTACCCGACAAAACGGCTTCCAAAACCGTGACAAGTTCTATAAGCACTATGACCTAAAAACTCATGAAAATCCTGTGAATTGATTCATGGTAAATTCACGGGATTTTCAAAGGATTTTAATCGTATTTTCATGGGAAATCTTCTAAGATTTTTCATGGCATGTCACCCTGGAAAAAGCATGAAAAAAAAAAAAAAACATTAAAAAAGCCATTAAAAACCCCTTAATCTTTTCAGTTTTCATGGGCCGTGAAAACCCTTAAGTTTTGAGCAAATCCATGAAATACTCATGAAAACACCATGACAATTTTGGGTTGCTTTTCATGGCCTTTTAATGGCATTGAAAATGCCATGAATTACAAAGAAGGATTTTCATGGCGTTCATGGTCTTTTCATGAGGCCACTGAATTCGTGGCCCATGAAAAACCCATGGTTATTCCATTAATGTTGAAAGACTAATTGACCTTCTCAAACTCATTAATAATTCATTAAGAAAATACAAAGGAAATTAATGTTTAATGAGTGTTTGGAAATCGGATGAAACACTGCTTAGTATTTGCATCCTTAATTTCTCCTTCAAAAATGATTTTGTTTGAGAAGAAATATCAAACATTCGACACAGTGTTTCATCACCAGATGAAACACCTCGAAGTTCGTCAAAAATACTCCGCTGCGCGTCGTATTTTCAACTCTCTTCTCGGTGTTTCATCTGGTGATGAAACACTGCATCTCATGTTTGATATATTACATGAAAAATGTTCATGCCTTTTTTATGGCTTTTTAAAGACCCATGAAAATTAATAATTTAATAGCCTTCCACTATTTTCATTGCGTAAACAAAATATAACATGGCCCATGAAAACTACATTAATTAAAAGGACTTGACTGTTAACCATTCTTTTCTTGCCCTCAAATCAAATTAATTCAAGCTCACTAATGGAAAATTAATGATGAAAACACTAACTAAATGGGTTGGAACGTATACTGAACTTCAACAAGCAATGTACATGTATCTTTGATTGATATTGACTTTATTCCACCCTTTCCATGGCATTAAATAGACAACACTATTTTTTCCGTTATCATTTCATATTTAGACTTGCCACTAAATGCCATAATACTAATAGAACACTATTCACATAAAAAAGTTAATAGCTGTTTTTACTGAACAAGTTATATTCAACTTAAGAATCTAATAATTTCCAAAACCTTCAAAATCTGCAATATTTCCAGATAAGGATTTTAATTATAAAAATTCCCTATAACCTCTTCTGAGAGCACTTCAATTAAATATTTTTGCTTTCTTCCTACCTGGCAACTGTATAAATCTGATATCAGACGTTAATCATCATCTATTAATTTCAAAATTTTGATCATAAATAATTTCATTTTGTCATATAAAATATGTGGAATAAGTTTTCAAAAAAATTGAGTAGATAAGCAACTTTTTTCACTGCAATATCTTTACAACTGGAACATTTTTAAAAATAAAATTCTTACATAAACTTGAAGAAGCCTTGCCTAATTCCAGCATATAATTTACTAAGAATCATTACATTTATCACGGCTGGCCGTGATCATGATGACATATAAAACTTTCTTTCTTTCGGCGGGTAATAATAATTGTCTCAAATTGTTATACACAAAAAAAAAACATGTCATAAAAAGGAATACGCAGACTTAAAGTGAAAATTTTCATTTTCATGGTATCTAAATGGCTCATAAAAAATAAAAATAATCCCTCACCACTTTCATGCGGGTAAGTGAAACTACACTAGTAACACCATGACATCGCATGACACTGATCTATATGAGCAAAAACCACATGAATGAAATCTAGACAGAGCTGTCATTAAGAGCTGTGAGCCGGGGACTTCCCCGGCTAGTTGCATAGGAAAATAGAAGAAAAACAGAACCAAAAGAAATCCCTAGCTGTGTGATTCCCCGCCTACTTGTTGTATTTATCCGGCAATGTGAAATCTTAGTGACAACACATAAATATAGTGCATTAAGTAATCTATAGCTTAAGCCATGATTGAAAAAAATATATAACATACCCTGTTAGGGGAATCTCTAGACATTGTTTGTTTATAATCCAAATGACAAGATCAGCTGAAAATATATTTTCCTTTTTCAAATTTACTTTACTCAGCATACACATCACCACGTACATTTAACATTAATTTCATTAATTTTGGATTTCAATTTTTTTGTTGGAAATATTTTTAAAATTGTAATAATTATGATATTACATGACATAGTGGCCAGTTCTTTCCAATTTCTGTTTATTAAGGTATACCAAGTATGGTGAGGGTAAAAGGCGGAATGAATTTGCGGAATGCCAAGTGGCATGGCTTGCAGAATGACATAATTATGCGGAATGTAAAATACGGAAAATGGCGCAAAGAAATAAATTAAACGGCAAAACATGACCGCGTCTTTGCCGCGCCTTTTTTTTGTGCCAATTCGAGTGTGCAACTTTTTGCTGGTCCATTTATTACTGGCAACTACAAGGCAGAGCAGAAAGTAGCGATAAGCTTTACTGCATTCGTGTCTATGAAATACTATTTAATACTTAATTTATTTTTGTTGCTTCCGACAATACTTTCTCTCTTTCTGCTCACCATTATAATAAA